ACTCGACTAACGGCTCGGGGAGGCAGATCACGCGCGGATCAAAAAACGGGTCAATGCTCGGGTCAGGTCGAATCTTGACAAAACGCGCGGATCCTTTGGGTTGTTTAACGCAAAAACAATGTCATTTTGGGAGGGTATATAAGGTTGGTTCCCTCATTTTTTCGGCAGAAGCCTTCTTTCCTCTTTCTCTCTTCTTTTTTTTTTTCCCTTCTTTCTAAAACTTCTGAAGAACTCTGGTTGAATATTAATCGGATTCTGAAAAATTGACCGAAAAGTTGGTCGATTTCTGAGAATCTTCATCGAAAATTGGGCAGCTGGCCGAAAACTTCAAACTTGATCGAAATTATCGTCGGAAAAATTCAACTTTCGTCGAAAAGTGCACCGGAATCTGGAAATTTTCTAGAAATTTTCAGAAAAAAAATCACAGAAAAATCTCTAAAAAATTTTCCTAATTCCTAAAGCTATTCTAACACCTCTAAACCCTTTTTAGCTTTCAAAAATCTTCTGTTTGCTTTTTTTTCCTTAGCCAGTAGCTTCTTTCTCTCTTTTTTCTGTGTTTTCTTCTGTTCCTGAGGATCCCTTTTATAGGGATTGATCAGAAGAATTTCTGATCAATCCCAATTCCTCTTTGGATCGGGATTCAATGATTGAATCCAACATAAACTCTTCTGATTGAATCCCAATCCAATTTCAGCTGAATAAATCAAAGAAATAAAAAAATCAAAAAAATCAGATAAATAAAAAAATTAACAGATAAATTAAAATTAAATAACAGATAATATATAATCAGATATACATATAAATATTAACAGAAAAATAATAATAAAGATATATACATATTAATAAATAAGTAAATACCTAAGATTAAAATAAAAGAAATATATATATATAAACAATATTAATAATAAAAATAAAAATGAAATAAAAATAAATATAAAAATGTAAAATACAAAAAAAAAAAAAAGACTTACCTATTTGGACAGGCCCAATTGATCCGGGCCTGGATCAAATTGGTTGTCTACACATACTTTTTGCCTTTTTAACTTATCTATATTATGTTCTTAACTTGTGTGATTTTGCTTTCCTCATCTGTTTATAACAGCTATTACGGATAGAGGATTGGTATCGATTGGTTGTGGTCTTTCTTCCATAGTCCTTGGATGTATCGTATTGCAGAAAGTTAACAGACAAGGGATTGTCAGCTGTTGCTGAGGGCTGTCATGACCTTAGGGGCCTGCATCTTGCTGGCTGCAGATTTGTCACTGATGGATTATTACTAACTCTTTCTAGGAATTGTAACAATCTAGCAGAGTTGGGCCTGCAGGGGTGCACCAACATAACTGACTCTGGACTAGTCGATCTTGTAAATGGTTGTCAACACATCAGGTTTTTAGACATTAATAAGTGCAGCAATGTAGGGGACATTGGGATTTCCAAGGTTGCTGAGGCTTGTTCATCTTCTCTGAAGACACTGAAGTTGTTGGACTGTTACAAAGTTGGAGATGAGTCAATATTCTCCTTATCCAAATTCTGCAAAAATCTTGAAACCCTTATAATTGGTGGTTGCCAGGATGTGTCTTACGAGTCTGTAAAGTCATTAGGTGCTGCATGTAGAAATAGTCTGAAGAATTTGCGGATGGATTGGTGGTTAAACATTTCTGACTCTTCATTAAGCTGCATTCTTACTCAATGCAAAAAGTTAGAGGCACTTGATATTGGATGCTGCGAGGAGGTGACGGATGCTGCTTTTCAGGATTTAAGGTATGGTGAAATTGAGTTTGGGTTGAAGGTTTTGAAGGTCAGTAACTGTCCCAAGATTACAGTGTCAGGAATAGGAATGATTTTGAATCAATGCAATTCTCTAGAATACCTTGATGTAAGGTCCTGCCCTCATGTAACTAAGGCAGCTTGTGATGAAGCTGGATTAATATATTCCTCGAGTGTTGTAAAGTGAACTTCACAGGAAGTTTAAGTGAGCCAGATGTCCTTGTTTAAGAACCCGACAATTTGAGCCATCTAGTACTGAGGGAAGATACTGTCCCAAAAGTTACAAGCGGTTAACCAGGTTTCAAAGCCAATGGGAGAACTATAGCAGGTGAGGACTTTCTAGCCAATTCTTTCCGGTTCTTGTACATGCAGACAACTTGGATTAAGAATATTTGTCTTGTTTTATTTGTTTATTTCTCATGTACATGTATATTTCTTTTTCCATGTCTTCATCGAATGACGTTGTAATTTGTTTGTGGATCACCATTTATTTGTATCTTGCCATGACAAAGAGTCTGTTAACCGGATCATCCAACGATGCTTTACTCTATATTTGGATAAATATTAATAAAGGAAATGAAATGAAATGAAAGGAAAGGAAAGGAAAGGAAAGGAAAATAAAGTTTTTTAAAGGACAAGAAAGGATAAATGTACTCATTGTTTGAATAATAAAAATTGAAAAAAAAGAAGGAAAATAATTCTAATAATTATTGTTTGGATAAATAATGAAAAAGAAAGAAAATGATTCATTATAATAATTTTTTCAATTATAATATTTTATTGTTTGTGATTTTAGAGTACTTTTGGATCATAATATATTTGCTATTTAGTTTAATCTAACAATTGTTACTATATCAGTGATTTTTAATCAAGTGAAATAAGAAGATGTTTTACAAACATGCATTGATAAATTTGTTGACCATTATCAAAATTTCAGCATATTATCACATTGGCAGATATATTCATTTAAAAGCTATTAAATATAAAAAATGCAATCACATAAAAACATTACATATGAGTGAATTATATGTCTTTTTTACATCAAATAAGAAGTAGTAACATATCACCATATAATTGTTCAACATAAATTTATTTTACTAAAATAAAAAATAAATATTTCCATCATAAGAAAAATAAAACTAATATTTATCAATTAAGTTTGTATGAAAAACGTACTGATATGTTTATAATCATAGTCAAATTAATTGTGTTTCAATGAAACATCTTTTAGAATTATCGACATCTCAAATTATAATATATTACATATAAAAATAAAAAATTTTAAGTTAGTTTGACATATCTTAAACTTAAAAAATATGTTTATTCATATTAAATCACTAATCAAGATCAAATCATTAAAAAATTATAAAAAATTTTTATATTGGAAAAGACATGTGAAACTTGAAAGAATAGATGATTTTGAAAAAATTACATGAAAATTGTGATGTGGTTAAGTTTTTTTTTTTTACTAGGCTTTTGGTATTAATAAAAAGTTGGATATAATAATCTTTTTATAAAAATAAAATTTTTTTAACTTTTCTTTTTTTAGCTTTTCTCTCAAATTGGAGTATTTAAAAAGTGAAGATTATAAAAAAAATCAAAGATTATTGAGTTTTCACCTCTTTTTTTTCCTTTAAATTAAAATTTTATCTAAACAAAAGAAATGTTTTTCTGTTTTCATTATTTTCTTTTCTTTTCTTTTCCTTTCCTTCTCTTCCTCTCAATCCAAATATACTGTTAAAGAAAAGGCAACTGTTAACCATTGGGATTTGTTATTCAGATATGATTTTAGGTGTTTGAACGTGATTCAGGTCGACTAGACATGGTGGTATTTATGTTGAAACTTGGTGTGAATGAAGTGGAAATCTAGAAAAACATATAGGTAAGTCATAAGTGGCACTTTTTCAAACTCCCTGGCTTCAGCGAAATCTTTTGCTGGCACCGATTAACTACTATAACGCCCTTGTGTTTACAGTTCACGGTTCATTAATCTAATCTCAGATCCTAAATTCTCTAAATTTCTTCAGAGATTTAGAGAGTAGATCCACGTGACCGGTGCTGATTTGTAACTGTGTTCATCTGTATGGATCAGAATTCAGATATTTATCAGAACTCTACTTCCTCCAGGTTGAAGATATGACTTCTAGTCGCAGCCTTCAAAGACAAGAAGTTCGCCTTCATAAGATTATGGTTTATGAATCCTCCAGGTTCATGCTTATCCTGGATGGACCAAAACTCCACGTGTTGTTGCGAGCATGCTTCATGTTTCCCGTGGCAACCTTAACTGACCAAACGGCTCACCGTTAGAAAATTAGAATTGAGTTTCGTGGATTCTAGTAAAGGCTTGGTTGCTTGCGTCGTGATCGTAGTCATATCACCATAATCTATATCCTCAATCCGCTTCAGGAGAGTACATCACTCTTCCAACTTGTCCTGATTGGATGACAGTGGCCTTTGGTGGCCTCGAGTTTAGTCCTGAGATTAACAGATAATATACAAGGCCATCACAGTCGTAAAAAGCTGCTCCGAATCTCACGTACAAGTATACAGTCTTGGCACTGGCACCTAAAGGACAATTAAGGACGTGGGAGATTGTAGTGTAACTGATCGATCTTCCATTGATTTTGTTCACCCATATTGATAAATTAATCTATTTACTGGCTATAAATTAAATTTGCATGGGCTGGATTGTGAAGTAGACTGTTTTTGACCTTGTCCGTGAGAGATTCAAAAGAGCGGCAACAGTTCATCCACACATTTCATTTTTTGTATTGTTCATTCATCCACAGTTCCAAACATTTCCGTTTCAGCACGTCTATGCATTGGGGCTTCTGGGAACTATCCCTTCGTCTACAATGACCATTATAAGAGGAGCATCCTAAAAGATTTGTGGATGTGGAGATATGCTATTGAAGGGCAGTTCTTGGATTAAGCCAGACTTATTTGGAACTATACCTCCAGGGCATTTGGATTTTATAGCTTCTCATTTCCGGGTTGTTGCTTATCGTTCTGAGAAGGGAGGTTAGTACTTTCAAGTAGAAAGCAATACACATCGGTTCATCCGTTTCTTCCCAACAGGAGCAGGTGGTGCTTCATTTATAATGCTCTATTTCCCCCCTTTCAGGTATGTTGGGTTTATTTTATTCTGTGTTCCAAGGATTTTCTTCATTCAAAAGACTTGATTTGAAATCTCAAATCGCGTTGTGTAGGAGATTTCATTCAATCAAGCACCCACTGAAGAATTCCTTTTTCCTCTTTTAATTATTTCTTTTTATCAGGCACCCACTGAAGAAACCAGGATTTGGTTGGGAACTAAAAATGAAAAAGAAAAAAAAAATTATCACGGGAAACAGCTGGGGGCAACAGGATTGAAGAATTAAGGAGCAGATATTCCATTAAGAAAAACTTTTTTACAATTGTAAGACTGATATTTTATCCTCATTTCATCAACAAAACAATCTGATGAAGCATAGGAGAAACATTTCTAAGCCACCTAGAAAGTGACTTGTACATCATCTAGTCTTTGGGAGATTGCCTGCTGAAGATATTTGAAAGCTTTCTGATAATTCAAGAAGCCCATAAACCAGAAGTCAAAATCATCTACTGTCACAATTTCCATGTACTTTTGCGATGGTTTCTTCATGTTTTCACCCTGATTAACTCCCTTTATTTTCTCAAGTGGAATCAAAACCTGCATGAATTGATAGAGAATAAGATGCCATGACAGGGAATGAGGGGTGCAAATATTATACAGACAGAGTGGGAAAGGAAGAAATATATACCTTGTAATGGACTCTGAGCAATTCTCCACTAGGGGAAGGGATTTTGATTGATCTGTCACTGCAAAAGGCAGCCTTTTCGGAGGAGATGAAAAGTAGACCGGCTATAGGACCTGCTGTTGTTGATAAATAGCATTGACATGCCTTCAACAGCTTCTCTTCTTCTCTGACACAAAATAATTGTTTGAAAATTTTCTCCACTCCTCCTACTTGAAGAATTCTTGCACCCAAACTCAACTTTCCCTTCACAGTTTCAGTGATCTTTGGCCCCAGCCTCACTGCAGGTTCAAAAGTAACAAAAAATAACTTTAGTTTTCATTTCACGTTGATCTTAAGACTAGTGATTTGGTTGTTCAGGAAAATAGCTAAAGCATAAGAATGTTTCTTACCATGCTCTCGGATTCCATTTGCAAAAGTATCAGCTTTCTTCCCCAGCTTATTCATCCTTTTAAGTACAAAATTTCCTTTGCCTGCAATTCCAAAACTTTCCCATTAGTACTGAAACATCTTCATCATGAATTTCTATATACATCATTTTGAGAGCTTAAAAGGGAGACCTACTTTTTCTAAATGTGGTAGACCGTTCTGCAGAAGATGAAATGCGGTATTGGCCAGCAGCATCAGGTAAGTACCGCCTTGGCGCTCTTTCAACTCGATATGCTGTTGATCTGATTGGAGCTCCAATAACTTGTTCAAGAAGCTGATTCTTCATTTTTTGATGAATGAAATGGAATTCTTTTCTTTTCTTGTATATGCTGCTGAATGTTTCTTCAGCTTCTATGATCAAGGAAGAGATGCTTTGTGATGATTGATGAATCTTGTATTTGGCAAATGGTATTTAAAGGGGTATAGATGTGGTGATTGAATTCGACTTTTTGTTGCATGACTCACCTATTGCTCATCAAGAAGAATAAAGGCAGAGCATAGACTTCAAAAAGATAATATTTAAGCATGAGATGATGAGAAATTTGGTTTTCTTTAAAAAAAGGGATGTTTTGGAAAGGTCCAACTTCTTTTTGAAGTACTACAACATGTTGTGCAAAGAAACATGATCCAACTCTATATGAAACGTGGCTAGTTCTTGTTCGGCAAGATTTCAACCAAACATCTAACCAAGTTTTCAAAATTTATTTAAGGGTTGATGTGTGATTTAGCCCTAAATTATTGCTTAATTTGGTATTTATAAAAAAAATTTAAGATTAGATACATGAATTTTATTATGCTAATTTTGTTAATGGTAAGTTGATGTACTCAAAAAATAACTAATAATATCATAACACATGACACATTAATCGGTAAGTATTTATCATATCAGCATTTTAACTAGTGTTGTTAAACAATGATCAAAATGCTTGATCGAAACAAAGTTTCAATACTAATCATGATACTAAATCGATAAAAAGTCATATAGTTCAAGCATCAAATTATATAATAACCCTGTATTTAAAGACAGTAAAAGGAAAACAAAACTAACAATATTAAACTGCAATGTTCAACTGCCACATTTCTTGAAATTTTAATTGATCAGTAAAAAATGACAGAATAATTAATTTAAGATTGCGTGAATAACATCCATAATAAGGATCATACACTAATCCAAGGAGGCAAGATATTTGAAAAACTGTCAGACTGCCTTGAAGATTAAAGGAGAAGTAAGGTTTAATTAATTTAATTTGGTTTAATTAACTTTAATTGTTTTCTAAGCCTTCCAAGAAATCTAAATGGGGTAGAGAGAACAGTCCACAGAATCAAATAGCCTGATTAGTTGAGACAACCTTTTTAAAATGAGAAAAATCCTAGCAGACATCATGGATTGCCTTGTTTCTCTTACACTGACTGTAAGAGGATGTGGCTTTGAAACTTTCTGAGTTGGCATTGTAGCTTTCCAATGTCTGCCCCCACTTTGCTGCTAAGATAAGAAAGAAAAAAAAGGAAAGGTACATTTGGGAAACTAAATGGTCACAAACCTCAACCAAACAAATTGCATACTAAAAGATACAATAATGCAGTGACTTCACAGTTAGTGATGCTGGAATTTTGAGATACGTCATCCATGTGAGATCAACTGTCAATGCCACTAACATCTTTTCTTTTTTTTTTTTTTTTTTTGGTTTGGACAGGTTAGAGAGCTCGACCAGTAGCTCTCTCCAAAGTCCATGAGAATTCTTTCGAGTTGGATTTCATTTTTAAGGAGTATAAATCTTGTAATTAATTTCATATCAATTTACAATACTTAGAGAGGGAGTTCAATGCCTATAAAATTTTCTTTTGTTATTTGAGATTGTCAAAAATTAAGCTTGATCACTCAAATTAAAAATATAGCATTTTATTAAGGTATGTTCATGGGAGTATTTTATTTATAATTTATTTATTATAATCTTACAATTGTTTAATTAGAATAAAAAATTATATAAAAATCATCACTTATAAATATAGAACTTATATAAAATTATGATGAATTTTACATAATTTTGAAATATAATTAACTAATTATAATTTAATAATGGTAAATGATATATTATCGAGAACATTAGCTTAATGCTAGTAAATTAGTACCTAATGATTTATTGCTCGTAGTCTGTAATTCTGTATCACTAACACTCAATAATTTATCCACGTATTCTCTTTGCCCTTTCTTTTCTTTTTCACATTTGATCTTTAAGGTCAGGGATTGTAGCTAAGATCTTCATTTTCTTTTCCTTTTTTTTTTTTTTAAAATTTTTTGTCTTTTTCCTCTTTCAGTCAATGGATCTCGAGAACTTGATATGGGAGGATAGCAAACTTCAGAGACTTCTAAACGTGATGAAAAGCTGTGATGGAGGGATCCATGAATGATAGAAAGAAACCTCTTTTGAAAAGGCAATGAAGTATAGCTTTGATTGGTCAAAGAAAAAAGGTAACCTAACCAAGCATGTGTTCATGTGCCTATCTGGAATACAATCTTTTTAGCATTCTTTTCCTATCTTCAATTTGAAATCCTGAGGTGGAAATGAATGGGCAGTAGGCCATGCAAATCAAAGGTTGCCTCACCTGCTTTCCAATGCCCAAATCAGCATTAAACTATGATAGTGAGGCTTTTGCTTAACATAAAAGAAATACAAGAATGAAGGAATCCATGGTCGGTTTTATCGACTCAAGGAAACATACCATTCCATGACTTTAACTTAAATTTTTTTTTTAATATTTAAAATTATCAAAATTTAAATATTAAAATTTTAATTATTAAAATTATGACTTTAATATTCTGTTAAACAAATCTCTTAGCTTTTAACCAGGTTGACTTTAATCTTTGTTAAAAAATAATTGCCACATAAGGCCCATTCCCCACATGGCATGATGGCATTAAGAGTCTAGATCCTGAATCTTCAATGAATTCAGCAAAGTACTTGATGGGGCGGAAAAAGGGTTGCCCAGTTTTTAGGGGCGCTGGCAACACAAGAGCTGGTAAGATGACATTTTTTAGTCATCTTCAGAACTTTAAAGTTCACTAATATACTTCAGTCTCCTACAAATATTTATGCAAAAATCATTAGCAGAAAATGCTTACATAATGTTTGTGTCGAGTTATCTCTTAGGGGTAAGACCCTAAAAATACAGGAGAGAGAAAGAATATGGTTAACAATAAATGTTAGAAGTACTCCCAACATTTGTATTCTAATGATCAAACCAGAGATTCATTTAGGAGAGGAATAAGAAGGATGTAACACTTAAGCTTAAGAATTAGAGGTACTTAGGTGATACTATTTATACCTATGAATGCAGAGTTTTGGGCTTAGGTTACTTGTGATCAGCTCCGAGAGATTAAGACTGACCTTATAGGTCCGAAATGAGCTAATTTTTAACTATTCACTTAGGATGTGATAAGTTGAAATATTAAAATGTTAGTGTATAAATTGTTGAGATAATGTAAGTGATGTAAATTCGTAAATTCAAATTGATCTAACATATTAAAATAATCAGAATATCTTTAATTATAAGTTGACTCGTACAAAAAGAAAAAAAAATAATTTTACCTTTTGAACACTAAAATATCCTTAATATGTAGTTTTTGGAAGAATACACCTATTGTGATGTGTGCCCACAAAATAGATGCAAACCAAACGGCTATATGAGATCATAAGTACTATAATATGATTTTAAAGAAGAATTATGAATCTCATATCAATTTTGTATTAAAATTAATCTTGAAATATAAATATTTATATTATTTTTAATTTGTAAGATATTTTTTATAAAATAAAATCATCAGTTACAATGAATCAAAATGAACAATATATGCAAATTTTGATGTGGAACCTAAGGCATAAGCATTTAGGTAATGCCTACGGTTTCTCCAGCACTTTCAAAGAAATTACACTTGGTAGCAGTGCATGAGAAATTCCAAAGAAATTATATAATGGTTTCAGAGTTCATTTCCTCGGTACTTTTTATCATAACTCTTATCCTCCTTGTCGTCTTCAATCCCAATTCTCCTGGAGATGGAATGAATTTGTGCATTGCCCGAAGAGTATGCGGCAGATATAGAAGTTTTCAAAATATAAAATTGTGTTAAGAGCAACTGTAAATTTTTAAGGTCAAATTTTGTAATTAGTCCCTATATTTATATGAAATTTGAATTTTAGTTCTTATATAATAATTTGTATTCCTATATAATAATTTGTAAAAATTAGATCCTCATATTAATTTAATTTAACAATGTTAATCTAATTGATAATAGTGTTACTTAATCTTCGTTAAATTAATTGACATGATTGTTTATCATGCTTATATGACGTTGACTTTAATGACGTGAAATTGACTTGTTGATATAACAATTGGAATTAATAAAATCAATTGTTGAATTATGTTAATAATATTATACTTATAAGAATTTAAAATTTAATTTATGTACTGACACAAAATTTAAAATTTAGTCCTTACACTCGTATAAAATTTAAAATTTAATCTTTTTAACATAAAAATATTTTGATTTTTTTTTGCATTTTTTTAGTTCTTTAAAAATATTAAATTTTAAAAATATTTTAGTTCCTTTAATATATTAATTTTTATTATATATAATTAATTATTAATAATATCATATTAATAATATTATTATTATCATTTAATTAATCAATTATAATATTAATAATTTAAATTAATATATCAAAATTAATATTATTTTAATTAGCATAAATATATAATATAACAAAATTTATAACGAATCAAATAGAGTTTTATTTGTAATGAATCTAAAATAGACCATAAATAAAATGATCATTCCATTCAACTAAATAAAATAAAATAAAATAAAATATTCAAATCTAAATTCTTACGAGGAATGAGTTCTTATTTATTTAAAGGACAAACTTTGAATCTTAATAAAATGAAGGAGGAAATTATTTATTTGATAAACTGAAATATTAATATCGTGTATCATAATGAGAAGTTTCAATATTTTTTGTTTAAAAAAAAATTTATTTAAATAATTATGTTAAATTAAATGATAAGATTAATTTTAAAACTAATAAATATTAAATTTAATAAATTACTTTAATGTATTTAAAATATTGAACCTATATTTGATTATAAAAAATCATTTAAATATGGTTTTATTTAAAGGAATAAAAATATTATTTTATAGATAATTTTATCTTTATCGGATATAATTATAATTCTAATTCATTAGATAAATTAATAAAAAATAATTTATTAAAATTAAATAGTGGCATATTTGAATCATATATTGACAATTTTGTGATGGATTTTTAATAGATTGGTTTATAATTTTTTTTTCATATGGTCACGATATACTACAATTGAGATAAAAAAATGTGATAAAATTAGTAACAGATTTATATTTTATGACAGAATATAACAAGAAATAATAATATAACTAGTAATAGTATTTCACATGGGTAACAAAAAAGTATGAAAGATTTAGTGATAATATATGAAAATTGATATTAAATATTATGATAAATTTTTTTATATTGTGATAGAATATTATAAAAGAATATTGTAGTAATTTTTAAAATTTAATGTTTTAAAAAACTAAAAAATTTTAAAAATTTAAAATAATTTTTGTATTAAAGAGATTAAATTTCAAATTTTGTGAGCATAAGAACTATTTATATAATTTAATAACTGATTTTATTAATCTTAATTATTATATCAGTAAGTCAATATCACGTCATGAAATTTAACGTCACATTAACATGATCAATTATCACATCAATTAATTTAATGAAAATCAAGTAACACTGTTATTAATTATATCAACATTGTTAAATTAAATTAGTATATGAATCTAATTTTTGCTAATATATGGGAGCTAAAGTTAAAATTTTATATAAGTATATAGATTAATTGTATAATTTGATCAATTTTTAATAATTATGACTGAATATAAAAAAATTCTTTTATTATTATTAATATTATTATATATTTTTTTAGAATTTCGAATATTTGAACTTAACCATACCAAATAAAATTCTTGATTCTTGTATCCAACTTTTCACCCTCGGGGCATTGTTATACCTACAATATCCTATTTATTTGAGTGTTGCTTTTTTTTTTTTTTTTCACTTTTTTCTTACTCTTTTTATTATTTTTTAATGAGTTTTGTTTACTAATGCTTTTAGAACTCTCTTGAAAATTAATTAATAGATTATTTATAATAATTTTATATAAAATGTAATAATCAAATTTATTCATGATTTTCAATATATTAAATTAAAATATTACTTTATATAGCAACGGGTACCCTCCGAAAACCTTCCTTAATTAATGAATGAAAATCTTCACCCAAGTGAATGCTGGAGTAACATTAGCTGAACATAATCATCAGACCAGCAATCAGACTACCATAGCGACACTAGCACCTCTACAAGTAAAGTTTTGTGACCATACAATCGCATAGGCCATTTTTAACATTCAAAACTGTTCAAAGCAGCATATTCAAATATCATTCCTGCGATCACAGCAGCTATCAAATGCCATCTTAATGAATCAGCTTTGAAGAACCCGACAAAACGCAATGGAGCCAAACCTGAATAATCCTGAAAAACAGGTTTTAATCATATACTTGTCCACCTGCCACGCAACCCACCAACCAAAAAACCAATTGATCGACATGTGCTTAGATACGCTGCTCATTATAGCAAGGTTTTTCTTTTTTTTTTTTTTTTTTAAAACTTTGGCCATAATATTTCTAAGCATGGACTAATACTAATGCTAATGGTTCCAATGCCTAAGGGACGGAAAAAAAGGGTTAAAATGCTGTCCTACCCATAAATCTGCCACATTTAACATTTTCCTTTTACATAGTTGCCTATACAGATACATGTAAATTCTCTCCCTATGGCTTATTTAGATTAAACAAATGACAGACACAACTTGTGCTTGCAAATAAGCAAATCTTATTCAGGCTAAAATCGGAAACCCAGTAACTCAATATCCGCACAAGAAAGTAGTCTTCTGTCCTTTGTATATTTGACAGCTAAACAGCATATTACCTAGAAGCAGATGTATGCGGCATTGGGTATGTCACGGGACCCATGTTCATCGATGCTCCAGGAACCACTGGTCCTGGTACAGGAGCTCTTACTCCATAAGCCATAGGTGCCTGGGCAGGAAGATTCACTGGTGTGCCAACTGCTGAGACAAGGGGACCTCCTATTGGTTGCCCTATAGTTGGACCACCATACATGCCAACACCAGGTGGTGCAGCGGGATTTTGAAGGGGCTGTTTGGCCGATTTTCCAGAGGAACTTCCGGATGCAGCACCATTTGATTGACCAGTGATTGGTCCTTGGGGTGCTGAAATATCTCCATTGCCAACACTGGTAATATCATGGATGCTAGATCGCCTCCTATCTTTGTTCATGGAGTTCAATCGAATGAAATATTTTTGCGCATGGCTTGCCACCTGTGTTGGCGTTCTTGTGACCACAAAGTTCCGTGATATACTTCGCCAATCACCTTTCCCATATTTATCCAAACCAATAAGAAATAACCTGTTTTTCAAGATTTAAAAAAAAAAAATCAGTGACTACACAAACCATTAAAATTGTAGTATGACATGCCTATTAGTCCAATACTCGAATGCAATATCAAAATACCTCTCAAATTTATAGAATAAGTATAAATAGCACCCTTCTTAAAAACAATTAAGAAATTTTAAATGACAAAAATTGATAAAACCATAGCTCCTCAATCAAACTTACGGAAAACCATGTCTCTCTATGAGCTTTATTTAAAAGAATAGAGAATTTTGCATAAGAGATAAGTCGTGTCAGATTTTTTTCTTTAATATGAAGGAAGCATAAACGTCAAACCTTTCAAATAAAATAATATTAATTGTAAAGACTTCAACAAACTATAGTAACTAGAAGTCTAGAACACTATAATACACAACAGAAGGAGAGGGAGCAAATAAGAGAAGTAGGAGAAACCTTGCTGACGACAAATACAATGTTCAAAAGCCTCACATGCGACCCGGTGTTATATCAAGCTGCACATAATTATAGCTGAATTTTAAAAACCCAATCACTTTAATAAAAAAGCCCAAGGGTGACTTGGATTATTCGAGCCTAGACAAGCCTACAAAAATATCATATCTTGGAAAGTCAATATGTTTTTACATATTACTAATTTCTATCAGTAAACATAAAGAACAGTATCATCCAATATGACCCAGATTTCTCCTTCAGACATAACATAATAGATCCACTTCAAGGAGCATTTAGCTAGAATCACCTATATCCTTTTTTGCATCCTTCAGAAATGTTGGCTATTACTGAGGGGGGCTGGATGGAACCTACCTTTTTCTTCCTATCTGATTCTTCAGAATAATTTCTCAGTGTATATCTGTTGACACTTCAAGAGGATCTCCTAACTTTGTTTTCCTAATCCCAAACTTCAGATATAGCTAACGGGCCAAGGCTTCACAAAAACAACTCCTAAAAGACATGTAAGTTAGGGCAGGCCCATAGAGAGTCATTTTAACATTCTTACAAAACCAGAGTCTACGGTGGTTGTACTAACAGGAGTATTCATGTTAGTTCAAATTCTATGACATTTAGACCTTATCATGGACTTGTGAAGATAATCACCATGCCGGAACAAGTAGCCCATAAGAAAAGCTTCATGATCAATTCTCCTTTCATTGTTTGCAATCTTTTAAAGTGGCCTACCCAACACTTCAAAACTCCTAACGTAGGTTGTGACATAAAGCTCCTGGAGACTACTTAACTTTACCCCACAGCTTTTAGCATCGGAACATACAGCATTCTTCACATATATACGCAGAAGTTGACATCAAATTTCCACCTGCAGCAATCGCACTTGAATTCTACATTTATCCTTTCTTCTACAAGATCCTTTTTTCCCCAGATTTCCTTCTTTAGATTTCCAAATGAGATTGCTGCCTCTCTACAGAAAAGATTACAACTATTCTCAGAATTAGCATTTAATATTCATGTAACATTTGCTGAATGTTCTCTACCGAAAATATTCCCTGCTATATTTAGCATCAGATAAATTGTTCGTGTAGGGACTTTCAAGTTTCACCGAAGGAATTTCTTAACTGCTAAAGATTCCAGGTTATGGATATTAACTCTGGGTTAGGAGAAGGCATTATAGACCAAATAAAGCTACAGAATATGTTCTGTAGTGATCAAATTTGGAGATAACTAATTCATCAAGAGAAAAGACACAAAAGCATCAATAAAATGTTAGCTGTCTTAACATCTTTAGCTCTTTTTGCCATGTGCCATTTTGGACAGAACAAATATTCTTATTACATTTTTTTTGGCCAATCTATTCTGATTACTTAAGCACAGTCAATTATTGTGCAATGATGTTTCTTAATATAACTGAGACAAAAATTCAAGCCATCATGCTTTCAAAAGAAATATATAACAATGAAAAGCATTAAATATATATGTCTAGAATTACCAAGTACAAAATTTAATGCACCAAAATATTAAGTACATATTACCATCACAGTAACCTCCCTCTTTGATGATATCAGATATCTATGCTTTACAGTAGAGTAATTTCTAGTGCATGCAAAATTCATCAACATGGAATTAAGAGAAAGTGTAAGATAAAGCTTAAGCACAGATGAAGCATCTACTTCATGTAAAACTTGCATAGGAATCATCAAATGAAATCATCATAGTAGTAGACAGGAATAAGGTATAGCAAATGTTAAAAAAACGCAGACTATTTCACAGACATCAAGAACAGAATTATCGACTCAAGGACTCTACACCAATAAGTTACAGTTAATCTTGGAAATGGAAATTAATTAGTGAATGGTAAGTAAAGCCAAGTCTTTAGCAAGGAATTGAACATGTAACCAAATAACTCACTATAGTTCAAATTCTTCAATTAATTCGTTTCTAGTTGCTACAATTTTCTGCAAAGGTTTGAAGCCATGGAAGCATGTTCTATAGCACCAACACACGTGACTCCAGTTGGGATGTTTCACCTTTGATGGTCAACCTTCAAAATTTTCTCATTGCTTTTATATACTTTCACAATGCATCAGCTAGTCACTATAAAATATATACTTTCAGATGAAACTAGACTAAAAACGTGACTATAGTGTCTTCATTCTATTTCCTTCTTAATTTAGAAAGACAATACTCGTTATTCATATTTTTATGAGGTGGGCACTAATGCACAAGTTCAATGGTAGGAGTGGGTAACTGGTTCTAGTACAAGCTAGTTCTGAGTAAATTTCATGGATGGTAACTAAACTTGTACCCTTTTTCCACTTAGCTCACCAAACTTCAAGTTGTCCCAATTCGGTCACAAAACTTTTTAATTGCATTCAATAAGGTCACCTTAACAAATTTTGTTCAAATAAATGTGAAACGATGACATAGTAATGATTTAAACAGTCATGTAATTTAAAAATCTATAAAAGTTTTTGCCGTTTCCATTTTTTATTTGTTCATAATCTTTGTAGATTTCCCATGCTAATAAAACCAAGAAAAGAATGGGTCTAGACTTTTAAATGATGTGGCTCTTTAAGCGGCTATTATATCGTTTATTTGGATGAAATCACTTATGGTGACCACATTTGATACACTTAAATAGGGACCAATTGGGACAAATGGAAGTTTATAAAGCAAAATGGGACGAAGGTAAAACTTTAGTGACCATCCATGAAATTTACTCAGATAGTTAATGCTATACACAGAATCAGGTATGCATAACAAACCATATATTGATGGCAAGTTTTACATCTAAAGCTAAAGTGACATGTGTCGCATACTCCCAATCTCAACTGATTTACCATTTCTCTAAAAGCCCAAGAGAAATTTAAAGTAAAAACTCAATAAATTCTCTACTGTGTTTAACCTCAAGAGACAAATTAGTTGAAGTAAAAAATTAAAGTGACATGTGTTGCATAGCCTAGTGGACATATCTGTGCATGCTACTATGTCTCTCAACATGGCCTAGTATAAATTCCTGGGATGTGTAGCCAAGTGGCCTAAATTGCACCAGCATGCGTCCACATGTATTTGTGTGCAGGGGAAATTTTTTATTATGACTTAAATTTATATAATTTATCCTATTAAATGAGAAAAATATAGTGCTAAACATAGAAAATTTGATGGAGAAACAGCAAACCGATATATGCAGAATTTATTGATACTTATCATTAATATGATATATAATTGGCAGACTTTATGCTTTAGTTATGATTAGTTATTAGTAACCTAACCGGGCCAAACAAACTAAATCCATACCCTCAGTGAACCAGATATTGTGCACTAAAAGCATCTCAAATAGGGCAAACATCCACCTCTCATCTGAGGCCTAATTCAGTTAAGACAGTTTGAGACAAACTTGATCACATCCCTTAAATAGTTCTTAATTCAAAAGTCATGGCTTTCCACCATAATGTCCAAGTGATATGTGAAACAAAATTGCCCAACAAAGCAAAAGTGACTATATAACCTAAGCACCAATTCATAAGACTTCTTTGATGAAATAAATCGCATAGGTTATTATTATTTCATAAATTCTTTTCTTATATGGTATCCTGGTGAGAGTTAATTCTCCACCATAACCCTTCTTGAGTTGTCCCTCCCCTTCTATATCAGAATCAAATTTGATGAGCACTTTAATAATGAAACCAAAAACTTTATGCAAAAAACCATGAGAGACATGCCAGTGAAAAGCAATGAAAACCTAAAATGCCAACTTAAGTCAAAAGTAGGGCTATTTTGGTGGCTTCAAAAAGATTAACCACATCAGACAAGGTTAAACAGTTAATCCAAAAGTAAAGGCCACAAGTGTCATACAGATGACATTTAAAGATAGTATAATTATTCTCTTTTAGGGTATAGATTTTCTGGAAAAAAGAAAATGATCAAGCCCCAGCAGGATCTCTCTTCCACTTAGTAACATTGAAATTCCCTTTTCTCTTTGGTTATTTCACATCATTTAAGCATATATTATTTATCTATTGGGCTTTCACAGATATCAACAGCTTCACAGTAACACTCAGCAGTAAAACCTTAAATAAGAAAGCCATGTAGAGGATCTGAGCTTCCTAACAGCTAACTAACAATAACCATCAGATAGAATTTACCGGTGGAAAGCAATTTTTGGAAACTTTTTTGTGAAATAAAAATCAAAGATTCTAAATCCGTACAGAATATGAGCTTCCAAGACAATCAAAATATAACAAATACACATAATTACTAAAGATAAAGCAAAACGAACACTACATATTAAAGTTCCACAGGGCAAAACAGAATATAATCAAGATGCTTCTAAAGGTGCATAAATCAATCTATATGAAACCAGAGTATAAAAAATTTTAAACCACAACAACTTTCACCTGTGCTCATCCTCTGTCCAAGCAATCCCCTTACGGCGTTCCTGATCTGACCTTGAATTCTTACTCCCATGGTTTGACTCACTGTTACAATGCCCTAAATGGCCACTTCCCTTCTTACCAGTTCCTTCATCACCAGCATGGCCCGCTGAACCCTCAGAAGAATTATATGGCGGGAGAGGCACACAACCAGATTCAATCCGGTTAACGTCATCCTCCAGAAGCTCATAGTGTTCTTTAATCTCCTCCAAAGTTTTCCCAGGTACTTCAGCCGCAATTTTCTCCCACCGATCTGAAGAATCCTCAGGATAAGTTGCAAGGGCATTCTCAAATGCCTTGTCTTGCTCCCTGCTCCACTCGGAGCAGCTGCCCGCCTCATCCACAGTCATCTAGGCTTTGTCTGAATCCACTATCTAGAATATCACCCACGGGAAGAAAGAACTGAATTCACTAAACTCCCAAATTAGGATAGCCAGTAATCCGTCTCCAAAACCATGGATTTCAAGAATAGTTCTTGGATTAATTCTATAATGGGTTTCACTAAAAAAAGAGTCTAATTTACTACTTAAATTATGGGGAAGCAGAAATGTCAAGCAAAAGAGGTAGGCAAGAAGAGAGTAAATAGACCCAGAAAAGGCCAAGGGAGCTTAACCAGAGATTAGGTGCAATAAAATTACAAAGCCCCAGTTGAGTATGTGAAGAATTCACTAGTAATTTGCTCCAAGATTCAAAAATTGGACTCTTGTGAATTGCTGACCTATTGATGAATGAAAAGGCGACAAAGTTCTGTTAGACATGAGAGATATCTGAAAACCATAAAATCAAAGATAATAAATGGCAGTTCAAAATGTAAAAGATATTGAAATTAATGCTAGGTGAATTCAACAGTAATGCAATTAGGGGTTTTTATTGTGAAATATATGAAAGAGACAATGCAAAAACCAAACAAAGAAGAAAAACTCAGAACGTATATGCGGATAGACTGAGAATTCAAGTTGCTATTTATAATTCCTAAAAAAAATCATCTAACCAAAAGCCTACTTGATAACAACAGTTTTGACAGCACAGGCCCACATAAAGTTATCCTGCTACTGCTTCACTCTGTTAAAAACCAGATTTTACAGCATATACTTCATCTCCACATTCTTTGTTCTCTTCTGCGAATTAATATTGTTATCTTCTGCGAATTAATAGTCAGAAGAATTGCCCTAAATTACATAGACACCCAATACAGCATAGCAATGAATGAAAAGGTATAACAACAAAAAAAACCCCTCAAACTCAAAAAAACATTATCAAGATTCTGACACCGGACGGTCAATAAAACCAACCAAAAAAAAAAAATCTAACTTTGATGGTGCCAAATCCTACTCCACCATTTCACTTTTCTGGCAATACTTTAAAAAAAAAAAAAGAAGAAGAACATCCCCGCATATATTTCAGTTGTAACTTTTATGTTTACTAATTTACAACACATGTAAGCTAAAGCTATGAAATCGAATTAGAATTCTAATAAGGACAAATTAGTAGTATCCAAAAAAAAAAAATCCGAAAAACAAAAGAGGAAAACTTTAAAAAGCACAAATTGTTTACAAATTTACAAAGGGTAGATATAGAAAATATAGGTGATGTTGATGGGTTTTTCTGAAATATCAGAAAGCACGTTGCAGGATGGGTCAATTGGTCCCATCACCTCCAATAACTACTTTGCTACAAAGGACAGCTGGAATTGAAAAAGCCTCACATCCCTACCAAGTTGCTCACATATACTGGAATCTACTATTCCATTAATATCTGATAAGATAATAACATGTACAAAAAAGAGAAAATAAAAAAGACAACTTTTTTTCCAAAAACAAAAAAAGCAAATTGAATTTCTCTTTCAATTCTTCTTCCTTGGCACTCCAAACAAACAAAAACAAATTTAGACGTGAGATAACCATAAGCAGTTGCACAGAATAATATATGATTTTATAAATATTCTTATAATATTACTCCATTCAACCATAATGATTGACTATGAATCATTACCTTTCGCTTTTCTTGCCCTTTTCTTCTTCCTTGATAGAGACAAAAGAGTAAGAAAAAAAAAATCAAAGCAAAGTTTCAGTTTAATTTTACCAACATGGATTGCCTTTTCAATTGCTGAAATGTTCTAACAGCCAAAAGAAAAATAAAAAGAAGTCAAAAGGCAATGCATGAGCGGCTGTGTATAACGGGAGTATTTGTAATAATGTATACCAAAACCCAACAGGATTACTTGTCACTTGTAATTATTTATTTGGTCCTGCTTTATTAATTATTATTAAACAATTTTTATATTCTTTATTATGTGGGTGTCTTAGGTCGACGTTAGGTTTATTATTTATTAGATTTAGTAATTTATATGTTTATGTTTATTTATTTTGTGTTATATAAATATAAAAATTATATTAATTATAATTTATGTTGATATATTAAATTTATTATATAATATTATTAATATAAATTTAATTATATCATTTTTTATATTATTATCTTATTAATATTAATTATAATTTGTGTTGATATATTAAATTTATTATATAATATTATTAATATAAATTTAATTATATCATTTTTTATTTTTTATTTCTTATTATATATCATATTATATTTACAATTAACAAATCTATTATTTATATCAAAAACAAAGATTTTCTTTTGCATATTTTTAATGGGAAAATGGAGTTTTTACTGCTATACTAGTGGCTTTGATTTGTTGTTTTCCCGTAGAGTTGGCTTTGTTTCCTGTTTTTATAAATCAATGATATGATTTAATCTATTAAAGTTTATTTTTTAATAAAAAATTTAAATTTAAATTTTATTAAAAGTTATTTATTAAGATTATTTTAAAAATATATTTTATAATTATTTATTTTAAATTATTAGATATGATATATTTTGTTCTATTTTATAAAATTAAATAACCTATATATTTCGAATTAAAAAAAAAAATTTACTGGAATGAACTTTTTGGATGCTTAATTTGGACTTCTGACGTCGTAAACTGATGTTTTTGGTTTTTGCCTTTAAAGTTTAGATACAACGTGCAAGTTGGTCTGAATAATGAAAAATAAACCAATCATTTATTGCCACCTGGGCAAAAGGTCAATTTCACGAGTTTAACGAAACACATGGTCTCTGGCCCATGGTTTTAATAATTGCCATTTATTGTGTTTCCACGTCCCCACTATTTCACACACAATTTGGGTTTGTTTCCAACCCAAAACTACTGTTTTGGTTAAATATAGACACAACTTTTTTTTTTAATTTTATTTTTTATTCATTTAAAAAAATTAAAATAAAAAGTATAAAATGCTAAATCATATAAAAAATTTTGAACTATAATTAACAAATAATTCAAGTCATTATTTTTTATTATAATCAATCAATCAAATTTCAAATATTTATTTACATCCAATTAACCTTTTATTTAAATGAAAAGGTTCATATAGTTAATTTTTTTGTCAATTAAAACAATTTATGTGACATTAATAAAATTTATAAAAGTTTATCATGTAATACAATTAATATATATAAAAATTAAATAAAATGATTTTTTTTAATTTTTTTTTTGTCCTTCTTTCTCAATTCTCTCTAAAGGGGTGTTTAGTTCATAGATTTTTAGATTTTGAGAGAGAAATTGATTTAGAGAAAAGTAATATTAAAGGAGAATGTGTGAATTTTAAGTTTTATAGAATTAAAAAATGTAAGATTTTTATATTTGATTCATTGGAATATAAAATTACCTAATAAATTTTTTTACTATATTATCTTTAATAACACTTGAATAACATATGATATTCATAATACTGACATATTAATAACATGTAATACATGAATACGATATTATCTTTTGTTAAAACTAAATAATTTTGAAAAATAATTTTTTTATATTTTTAATAAATATAATCTTTCAACTTTAATTATTATTTTAACATTGATTATCCTTATGCAGAAAAAAATGCAAATTGACCTTAGATTTTATATGTAATAATATTAAGTAAAGATATTTTATGTTTTATTTTTTTATATTTTCAACAAAAAACTATGTTTTTATCTTATAAGTATCGTATTTTCAACAAAGACTATATTTTTTATCTTATAAATGTCATTTTATTGAATTCTGAAAAATATTTTTTACATATTTGAAATAAAAGACTTTGTTTTTATTTAACAAAAGTCATCTTTTCAACAAAGATTATGTTTTTATCTTTAAAATGTCATATTATTAAATTCTAAAAAATATACTTTCCATACTTTCAATAAAGATTGCATTTTTATCTTAGAAATGTTGTTTTTTTCAATAAAGAGTGCTTGTTTATCTTAAAAACTTTGTCTTTATTAAATTCTAAAAATTATTTTTTTTATATTTTCAACAAAAGTTACGTTTTTATCTTTGAAACTTCATCTTTTCAACAAATATTGCTTTTTTATCTTTAAAATGTTGTTTTTTTTTTTAAATTCTAAAAAATAAATTTTTCATATTTTTAATAAAACTACGTTTTTATCTTAGAAATATAATTTTTTTAATAAAAACTGTATATTTTTGGGAAAAATGTTATCTTTGTTAAATTCAAAAAATTAATTTTTTTATATTTTAAACAAAAATCACATTTTTTTTTGGTCTTAAAACATCATTTTTGTTGAATTATGAAAATAATTTTTTTCATATTTTCAACAAAAATCATGTTTTTAATCATAAATTTTGTGAAGATTCAATAGCATTACATTAAAAACGTGATTTTTGTTTAAAATATATTAAGAAAAAAATTATTTCTATAATATTTTATAAAAAAAATTACTGTGTTTTTACAATGCATTTGGTTCGAATGAATCCATAATTTTTTTCCTAGAATCTTGATAGTGGGTATTTGATTTTCACGTTTGATTGAAGGTAATCCGATTATAGGAAAAAAGTCAAATTTTTAACAGTACATAAAGTTTTGGAATCAAAAACCCACTTCTCATTATGGTAATCTAGGATTTTAGAGGGGGAAGTTGCCTTATTTTTAAATTTGACTTAAATAAAAAATTATTACATAGCTGTTGCCTTTTTGAAAAGTATGTCTGAAAGTAACTGAAACTCAATTGTTTAATGACATTTTAATTTTTTTTATATTGCAATTAAGGCATTTGGCATGAAGAAATGCCTTAATTGCTCATCAATTAAGATATTTTCTTCATCAAATGCCTTAATTGATCATCAATTAAATTGTTTCTTCACCTTAAATGCCTTAATTGATAATTTTATGATAAATCTTTTTTTTGTCTTGAAGATCGTGTTATGACATGAATGATTATCATATAAATGTCCATTAATTAAGGAGTTTGTATGGGAAAATGCCTAAATTGGTAATCAATTAAGGCATTTTTTCCTACAAATGCCTTAATTGTTGTATATTAAAATTTTGTTTTCCCTCTTAAAGATCGTGTTTTGACAATATGAACGTTGTAATTGCTAATCATGAAGTAGAATAACCTATATTTTATATATCAAATAAGGCATTTGTATATATGGAACACCTTATTTGATGTTTTCATCATGTTTCAATATCCAATATATTTCTAATTTTTATTTCAACATGTCTCAGCTCATAACATTTACTTTTCTCTTTGAACCAATTTTAGCTTTAACATCTGTCATTTAATCTTTGTCCTGTTAAATTTATCTTTTTTTTTTAAATGGTGTATATGCTTTCTGATTGATCTTTTTATCTAATCTACATTATTTGTTGTTTTACATTGTTTTTTTTTTTTTTTTTTCATATTTATAGATGTTGTTTAGATCTGGATTTATGTTTATGATATAATCGCCTTGTTTTGTGATTTTTTTATTTTAGTATCTTTATTCAGAAATGTTTTGTTACAGATTTATATTTTTTTTTAATGATATTTGATAGATTCCATGTACTATATGCCAAGATTTGCTTTTCATTCATGTTTTCAACTTTAACGATATTTTGTCTTTTAAACAGTTGTAGTTGATTTATCACTAAGAACAAAGATGTAA